GAATTTTTAAATTGAAATTTTTTTCCACCTTAATTTTTAATATTAATTTGAAAATTAAACTTTTTAATTGAGATTGAATTTAACATCTCTCTAAATGTGAATTTGGATCATTAACTTAAGTTTAAGAGATAGATCAAGTTTGTTTTTTTTTATCTTTAAACTCATGCTTTTTTAGTTTCATTCTTTAGCTTTTAGAGATTGAGTTTTAATTTTTTGTTTTTTTTTATTGGATTTTTAATTAAATTTTTTATATGGCATAGATTATCTCATATATATTTTTTTGTTTGTTATTCCTTTTTAAATATAATTTTTCTTTTTAAATTTGGCCTATTTTATTAGGCCTGTGTGCAAATTAAGTGGACCCTTTTGTTTTGAGTAAGGACTAGAGAGAATGTAAGGCTTAGAAAATACGGGCCTAACGTGAAATAATTTAGAAGCAGAATATTTTAGTGGGAAAAGCTAGGAGTGTCAAAAAAAAAAACCAACTTATATTTGTATTATCTTACCGACCTAACTTGTTAAATTCATTTAATATGAATTTTATAGATGATAATTGATTAAAAAAATTAATTAAATAGATATTATAAGTTGAATGCGAGCTGGGGTTTTTAAAAACTGCTCAACGCGGTCAAATAAAATGAATGGATTGGGCATGAGGGCTTCTTGCCCATTCTAACACGGTTGGGCTTTTTTTCATGGCCATTATTTTTTTTTCTTGCTCATTTTTTTTATCTTTAGTTTCTTAATTCAATTTCATTATTTAGTAATGGGTTTCTATTCGATTTTATATTTTATTATTGAGTTAATATTAAATCAATTTTTATATTTTTTTAATCATATAATAAATTTTAAAAAATAAATAAAACTAATAGAGCTCATAACTCGAGTCTTAAGTTTAACTAAATATTAATCAAAGAGTTGGGTGAGATTTTTTACCCTCCTATTTTATATATATCTTTTGGTTTTGTTTTTCAAATTCTATTATTTAGTGTGTGATTTTCATTGAATTTTATCCTATTGAATTAATGGTAAATCAAGTTTCCTATTTCTTATCATATAATAAAATAAAAAAACAAAATTGATCAACTAAAATCCATTACTTACATCATGAGTTTGACAAATTGACTAAATATTAATTAAAGAGTTGGGTTAAGATTTTTTGGCCCTTTTGTTTGTATCTTTTTTTTTTAATTCCATCATTTAATGTAAGATTTTTATTGAATTATATTCTTGAGTGTTAGGTTGATAGTAAATTAATTTTTGTATTTGCAATCATCTAATAAAATAAAAAAAATAAATTCAGGTTAGTGAAGTCTATAACCCGGGTTGCTCATTTGGTAAATTGACTAAATAATAATCAAAGGTCGAAGTAGAGTTTTAAGTATGAACTCTTATACCGAATATAATGATAATGCTAATTGTTTTTTATTTTATTTTTTATGATATGATATTTTTTTATATTTCAAAATTTTACATCCAATCTGCAATGAAAATATAAGTGATAAATTAATTATAAACTAAAATAAAAGGATAATCTTTCCGAGTAAAAACAAAATATGCATGGACATGCAAATATTAACCTCCATTGTTCTTTTTATTTTATATGTTTTTTATTTATTTTATATTAATGGTTAATTTTGGTTGTCGAGAACAAACAATTTTTGTTCTTGTAATGTATTATATAAATACAATTTATTTATATAAAATAAAAAATAAAAAA